TGCAGAGATTGATTGGTCTGCAATTTGGACTGTCAGCTTGAGTTGCTGTGGAGAAAAAATAGTCAGTAACATCGGCATTAGGAGGGGAGAGCCAACATACCTCTTCACCAAAGCGAGCTGGGGATGATGTTGTTAGATCTTGATGCATGGTGACAGAAGGTGGGCTGTCAGAGAGTGACAATGGAACCATTGAGGATGGAGCCACTTTGTCTAGCAGTGCAGAGAGGTCAGCAGGAGTGAGCGTGCTTAGGATACCCACCAGTTGGGCATAAAAATCCATCAGCTCTGTTGGCAGTGGTTGCTGACCCAGTATCTGAGCGAGGATCTTGACCTGTAGTGCCAGAATAGTAAATCTGTACAACTTCAGTATACTACAAAGACTGTGGGAAAATGTATGGCAGCCTGACCTTGGTTACACAAAAATATGATAAGGCGTTGCAATGCTGATAACGTGAAATCAGCAATCTGCTGGACCATGTGAGAATGGACGGTCAGACTGTCCATTCTCACACGGTTCAGTATTGTCCCAGCAAAGATAAGATTAGATGAGCCGTGCAAGAATGGACGGTCAGACTGTCTATTCTCGCATGGTCCAGTATTGTTGTTCCAGCAAAGATAAGATTAGATCACCCAATAAGCCGTGCGAGAATAGACATCTTTGGATGTTTGTGATAGATTTCTATTAAATAATTAGGCTAGTTTGTATGCGTACCAAACTATTTGGTGAATATTAATTCTATCATTATTAGTATCAGAAAAAGGTTCTCATAGACATAAATGAGCTGGTATAGCTGGTATAGCTGACATAGTAACTATAAGGCTTCACATAGAAATTTAATTTATTGGTTATAATAGGAATTGAATTACAGCCGGCTGTGATCCCATTTGGCCTGAATACCGTGTGTGTTTTACAGTGGTATGTTGTGTGTGTTTGTACAGCCAGGTATTTGTTGGCTGCCCCGTATAGCTGCTGCATACTGGGCTGGCTTACAAATCAGAGGTATTATCCTATGGAGTATTGGTATGTCAGAGTATATTCTAACATATACTACTACAGGTTTGTTTGTACATATATACTATACAGTTGATGAAGGCAGTGGCTGATGATGTCATGCTGCACAGCCTGTGTGACCAACTCCACTGCGTGAGATACTAAAAATAAGAAAAAGGCAGCACAGCGCAAGAAGTGGAGTTTGAGCAATAATGGAAAGTCCCACATGGCACAGGATGTGAAAACTACAAAAGAAAGTTGAAGAGGAGAATGAATTTTAAAGGTCCGAAAAATGTGTTATTGTAACACTCAACTGGGGCATTTCCTGAAATATTGACCTCCGCTGAGGTCTGTTCTGTATGTCAACTCAGCTGCCCTCAGGTTTAGATCTTTGCAAATTGACTAAAAATCTGATGATCTCATCAGTCTGAAAGGCCACACAGGTGATAAAGCTGCCAACATGTTAATACAATGAAGTTCAATCTTGATGGAACTTGTAAATAGACACATTGAATAGAAAACAAAAAATAGCTTTGTCAGTCTATGCAACAATAAGAAAAAGGAATTTCATCAAAAAAGAATGATAATAGAGGATACTTGTAAATATGTGTGCCATTGTTTCCAGCATAATCAGTAACAGTGTGGACAGGAGGAAAGGTTGTTTAGATTGATAATAAAATATCATAAAGTCAAGTCTGATGTTTGATTTTGATGATCATGGAAACAGATTGGAGTGGACCAGGAGCAGGAATTATCACAAGAAGAGTCCTGTAAGAAAGTGTGCAGAGCAAGCTTAGTACAGACTTTTTGGAACTACGTATTAGTAACACCAGGCTGAAATAGGCTGCAGCACAGTATTTGCAACATTCCAAGGTTTACAGCAAAAAATGTTACCTGAGATAATTATAGACACCCTACCTGTAGTAGTAGGAATATAGTATCTATTCCCTAGTGAGCTATTTTATTTTCCCCTGCATATCATTATACTACTTGTTTCTGTTTTTTTTAAATTTCCTACAATGATTTCAATAGCACCTAGCTGGATGGTTAGCTTACCTCCCTTCTAGTGTATAAGAGACCTCTTGTAGTAGCTAGAGGTGGTATTCTTAGAATCAACTGTGAATTTGTTGTTCTCACACTGGCTCACTTGGGAATTCTTTCAACTCTCTTTTTGCTGTGTGACATTCTGTGTGACCATTACAGTTGAATGATTTGCCTGTGATTAGTTCTTGGCTTTGTTTATGTGTGAAGGAATGAATGACATAGGCACATATTCCACAACCTCACTTTGGCTTTGCATATGAGATTGCTACAGACATTGTTGGTGTCAGGTCTAGCATAATTGCTAACAGGTGTAGTAATTCAGAAGCCAGAGGAATGGATGCA